GAAACAGCCCAAGTGCCCATCAGTAGATGAGTGGATAAAAACGCTGTGGGACATTTACACAATGGAATACTATGCAGCTGTACAAAAATGGAATACTATGCAGCTGTACAAAAAGAGGGATCTCTTACCCTTTGGGACAGCATAAATGGACCTGAAAAATATTATGCTAAGTGAAATAAGCCAATCTGAAAAAGACAAGTATAATATGATCTCACTTATTTGTGGAATCTAATAAACAGAATGAACTGACCAGCAAAATAAGACCCAAAGCCTGGAGGCATGGATCAGACTGACATACCTTGATGTGGGGTTGAGGAGACGAGAAGAGATAAACCAAAGAACTTAAATACTTATATGCATAGCCCATGAACACAGGCAATAGGGTAGTGAAGACCTGGGGGGACGGGTAGGGGCTAGGAGCAGGGGGGGAGGGAAGAAAAAGGAACATATCTATAATACTATCACCAATAAAAATATATTAAAAATGTGTGTGTGTGTGTGTGTGTGTGTGTGTGTATAACCTTCCTAGATAGAATCATGAAGAATTAAAAAATCTAAATAAACTAATCAATAGTATGGAAATTTCAAGTCATTAAAAACCTCCCAAAAAGTAATAGTCCAGGACCAGATGGATTCAGTGAATTCTACTAAACATTCAAAGAAAACTTAATACCTATCCTTTTCACTCTTCCAAAATATTAAAAAAGAGGCAAAAATTCCTAACTCATTTTATGAGGCCAACATTACACTGATACCAAAAACAGGTAAGGAAAACATATACACACTCAAATTATAGGCCAATATCTCTAATGAATATAGATGCAAAAATCCTAAACAATTAACTAGCAAATTGAATACTACAATACATTAAAAATATATCACAATCAATTGGGGTTCAGTCCAGGGGTGCAAAGATGGTTCAATATATACAAATTGATGAATGTGATATGCCACATTAACAAAATAAGCAATAACTATCATATGATCATATTAAAAACTACAGAAAAGCATTTGACAAGATACAACATTCATTATTTATGATAATCATTATTTATGATTAATAAAATTCTCAACAAAATGGGTATAGAAGAAATTACTTAAACATAATAAAGACTATATATGACAAACCCTCAGCTAATATACTCAATGGTAAAAAAACTGAAAGCTTTTTCTTCTAAGATCAGGAACAATACAAGGATGTCCACTTTCACCAAACTGGGAAGAAGTAAAATAGTCATTTTTTGCAGAGGACATAATTTTTTATAAGTATTAGAAACAACAAATAAAGTACAATAAAGTTGCAGGATATAGTGTAAAAAAATTATTGCATTCCTATATACTAACAATTAAATTTCATGGGAAAAATTGAAACAATTCCATTTTGCAATTGCAACAAAAAGAATAAAATATCTAGGAATAAACTTAAAGGATATGAAGTACCTATTCACTGAAAACTATTAGACACTGTTGAAATAAATTGAAGACAACACAAAGAAATGGAAAGATATTCCATGTTCATGAATTAAAAGAATTAACATAGTTAAATGGGCATACTACCTAAAGCAATATACAACTCTAATGCAATCCCCATCAATATCCAATGGCATTATTCAAAGAAATAGAACCAAAAAAAATCCCTAAATTTGTATAGAACCACAGAAGACCCTGGATAGCCAAAGCAATTCTGAAGAAAAAGAACAAAGCTGGAGGTATCACATTCCCTGATTTCAAGTGATACTACAAAGCTACAATAATCAAAACAGCATGGTATTTGCAAAAAAGCAAACAAACAAAATAAACAAATACATGAACCAATGGAACAAAATTGAGAGTCCAGAAATAAACCCTTATGTATGGGCAACTAATTTTCAACAAAGAAGCCATAAACATATAGAGGAGAAAAGGAAGGCTCTTCAATAAATGGTGATAAGAAAATTAGAAAACAACATGCAAAAGAATGAAACTAGATTGGTATGTGACACTGCTATTTTACACAAAAAGTAACACAAAGTAAATCTAATACATAAATATAAGACCTAAAACATTAAAATACATAAAAGGCAGGTACTAACCTTATGACCTGGGTCTCAGAGAGGATTTTATGAATTTGATCCCAAAGGCAAAGGAAGTAAAAGCAAAAATAAATAAATAAATGGGACAATATCAAACTAAAAAGCTTCTGCACATAAAAATGAAACCATAAACAAAACAAAAAGGCAACTCACTGAATGGGAAAAATTACTTGCAAAGAATACCTCCAATAAGGGGCTAATATCCAAAATATATAGAGAAGTCATACAACTCAATAACAACAAAAAAAACACAACTGTTCCAATTAAAAAATGGGCAGAAAACCTGATCTGACTCTTTTCCCAAAAAGACATACAAATGGTCAACAGATATTTGAAAAGATGCTATATTTCACTATTTATAAGGGAAATGCAAATCAAAACCACAATGAGATAGCTTCCACTTGTTAGAATGATTATTATCAATAAAACAAGAAATAACAAGTGTTATAGAGGTTGTTGAGAAAAGGGGAACCTCATACAGTGCTGGTAGAAATTTTTTTTAATTATTTAAGATTAAATTTATTGGAGTAACATTGATAAAATTATATAGGTTCAAGTGTACAAGTCTATGATAAATGTCTTATCTGTATATTGCATTGTGTGCTCACCACCCAAAGTGAAATCTTATTCCATCACCATGTATTTGACCTCCTTTACGGTCCCCACAATTTTCATTTCCTCTGGTAACCACCAAACTGTTGTCTGTGTCTATAAGTTTTTGTTTGTTCATTTTTCTTTTTGTCCATTTGCTGCTTTTAGTTTTATATACCACATATGCATGAAATCATATCGTATTTTACTTTCTCTAATTTATTTCACTTAGCATGATATTCTCAAGATCTATTCGTGTTGTCACCACTATGAAAAACAGTATGGAGGTTCCTTAAAAAATTAAGAATAGAGCTAGCATATGACCCAGCAATCTCTATTCTGGGTAATTCCTAATAATTTGAAAATATTTATGCATAAAGATATATGTACCCCCATGTTCATCATAGGATCATACTTGAAAACAACCTAAGTCTTTTGATGGATGACTGAATATAGATGATGTGGTTCATACATACAATAGAATACTATTCAAATAGAAAGCAACGAATGAACAAACAATACAAACTACCTCACAGACATAAACAGTATGGTAGTTACCTGAGGGGAAAGGGAATGAGAGAAAGGTTGAAGAGAGTAAAAGATAAAAGGTCAAATATATGGTGACAAAATGAGAGTAGACTTTGGGTGGTGAGCACAGAGTGCAATATACACATGATGTACTATAGAATTATATACTTGAAAGTTATATAATGTAATTAACTAATGCCACCCCAATATTTAACTTTTAAATGAAAAAAAATTTAATGTGTTGAACACTTACTTTGTATAAAGGGGTTATGCTAAGAATTTTCCGTGTATCTTTTAACTCAGTTATTTTCTTACTGGAGACCCGGTGCACAAATTATGGCACCAACGGGTCCCTCGGCCTGGCCTGTGGGAACAGGCCAAAACCTGCTCTCAGACATACCCCGAGGGTCCTGGATTGTGACAGGACACAGGCCAGGACGAGGGACTCCACCAGTGCATGATGGGGGCCGAGGAGGGACACAGAAGGTTGGCAAGCTGGGGAGGGACCACGGGAGGGCTACAGGGCATGTCCGGCCCGTCTCTCTCAGTCCCAATCGTCCAGACCCCAGCAGCAAGCTAACCTACTGATAGGAGCATCTGCCCCCTGGTGGTCAGCGCACATCATAGCAACTGGTGGACCAGTCGAATATCTTCCCCCTGGTGGTCAGTGCACGTCATAGCGAGCAGTTAAGCAGCCTTCACATATCATTACCATATAACGCTTTGATTGATTGAACAGATGACTGGACGACAAGACACTTGGCATTTTACGCTTTTATTATATAGGATCATCCGATGCAGATAACTTTTATTAATCTTTATTTTTTACAATATTACATATGTCCCTTTTTTTTTTCCCTATTGACCCCTACTAGCCTGCACCCAACCCCACCCCAGATCTTCACCACACTATTGTCTGTGTCCATAGGTTCTCTTAACTCATTTAATCCTATAAGGTAGATAATACAATTAATCCACTTTTACCCACGACGGAACTAGGAATCAAAGTTCCACAGTTAGTAATGTAAAGATCAGATTAATATTCAGAGTCTGGCTCCTCAGACTATGTTCTTAATTACTCTAATACATGGATGGGGAACCTTTTTACTGCCAAGGGCCATTTGGATATTTATAACATCATTAGCAGGCCATACAAAATTATCAACTTAAAAATTAGTCTGCTATATTTGGTCAAACATTTAACTAACTCAGAGGTCAAATATATGATGCCTTGGCAGAGCCAGACCAAATGATTTCATGGGCATTATATGGCCTGTGGATGGATATTCCCATCACTATTCTAATATGAGAAAGTGGGTGTTAAGTGTATAAAAATGTAAAATGTGCTATGGGATATTTTTAGCTTGAAAGGCTAAAGGCAGCTCCAGATCTAGCAACATTTTGTCCAGAGCTAAAAGAGGAGAAAATAGCACATTATTTAGATAATATTATTGCTAATTTGGCCAAATCAGTAAGTTATTTCACTTTAAATCTTAACCATATAACAGAAAGAAAAGAAAGAAATTCAAGAAGAAATGTACTCAAGAACAAGGAACTGAAATTGTCGTATCAAAATGTTAAGTGAACAGATTTTATAAAGTATTTAGAATGACAGTTATGTCAGGATAATTATCCTTAGGTGCATTTTCGAAAGTAATAAATATTTTAACCAATACACCATTCCTGTAAAAATAAACATAAACTGAGATATAATAGTGGGTAAATTTTAACTAATTTAATAGTTCTAAATTTTAAAAGAAAACCCATTTTTATTTTCATCTTCAGAATAACATGACAAAAGGTAGATACCTATTTTTTCAGGCTTGAGTAGCTTGAAAGAGACAGTTGAGGTTCCTTTGCCACCTGACTTGGTTGTGACAATTATGTCTCCTTTGTCATTTTTGGCTTGTCCAACTCGACATACTATTTTACTTGCAGACATCCATTCTGCTGTCAGGAGGCAATTATGTCCACAAATTGCCAAACCTGAAAAGAAAAAAGCATACAAAGTTCAGAAGAACAATGATAAGAATTAATCATGTCTATTACATAAAAATACAATTCTACTTTCTCCATTTAGTAATACCAGACCTTTTCAAGAACTGAAAAATAAATCTAGAAATAACATTTCCTTGTTCCCTTATTCCTATTATTGAATACTAGAGGGCTGGTGCACGAATTCGTGCACGGGTGGGGTCTGGCCAGCCTGCCCCAATGGGGGCCCATTGGCTGGGATGGCGGGGGGGAGAGGAGGGGATGTGAGGGGCTGTGGGAGGTTAGTTGGCCAGCCCCACCCCCGATTGGGGTGTTGGGGGGCCAATTAGGGGGCGGGTTCATCCGGGGGAGGGACCTCGAGAAGTGGCCAGCCGACCCTGTCCCAATCAGGGTGTTGGGGGCCAACTGGGGGCAGGGCAAGATGGGGGGAGGGGCTGCAGAGGGTTGGGCAGCCACCCCCACCCCCAATGGGGTGTTGAGAGCCAATTGGGGACCACTATCAGGCCTACTGGCTACTGCAATGCAGGTCATAGACACAGGTCATTCCAGTCGTTCTGGTCATTCTGCCATTCCAGTCACTGGGCTTTTATATAGATATCCAACATTTTTTGCAAATATACCAGTCTCTATTGACTTTTGTCTAAATTTTTTACTCTAATACTATATTTGACTTCTTTTAGATTATATTTAAGTTTATTCAAACATGAGTGGAATTAGGTTATAATGCCCATAATAATAATGTATAGGTATTCTAGATCAGCAGTCGCCAATCTTTCAGACCTCACAGACCACCAGTGGTCCACAGACCACTGGTTGGCAACCGCTGCTCCAAAGGTTTCCTTAAACCAGTGGTCGCCAACCTTTTGGAGCTCACGGACCACCAGCAGTCCGCAGACCACTGGTTGGTGATCGCTGTTCTAGATTACTTAGACTAAGAGAATCTTAAATTACATTAATGTATATTAGAAGGAAAGTTATTGCTATTATTAGAAATCTAAGTTATTGATATAAAATTCTAAAGGATAAATAGATGTATATATCATTCCCTAAAAACATATTTATACATCTCCCTGAAAATAATATTCATATACTTTTACTAGTGTTCAATCATACATGGTGCAACAGAATGAACTAAAGTAGATAATTTATTATAAGCACAGCCTAGAGTCTGGTAAATCCAGTAAATGTTCTCAGGCATTACTGGTTAACTATTTCATTTTTTTTATTTCATTATTATTCCTCTAACGATAATTCACGCTGCCTTAGTGATTCCCTAATGATACTGTCACTACATTACATTCTGCTTTCACAATAAACTGGCACTCCAAAAAGGTCAACACATGCCTGCCATCTCAGGCCCCGATTCCATGTAAATTACAATTTAGGCAGTAACCAGATAGGCACTGAAAGATTTTAGTGAGGAAGACATGGCCCCAGGCAGAACACTGAAATACCACCATGTGTACACACTGCCAGCTAGTCTACTAACTGATTTCTTCTCTATTTTCCATTTCCGCAAAACAGAGACCAATCTATCTATACTAATAAAAGGGTAATATGCTAATTAGACAGGACATCTTCCAGACATCTTCCAGGCATCCTACCAGACAAAGCAATGGTGGAGGGGGCCGAGGCAGAGGCTATTGGGGGCGATCAGGCCAGCAAAGGGGAGCAGTTAGGGGGCGATCAGGCTGGCAGGGGGGAGCAGTTAGGGGGTGATCAGGCCAGCAGAGGGGAGCAATTAGCGAGCAATCAGGCCGGTAGGGGTGAGCAGTTAGGGGACGATCAGGCCAGCAGGGGGGGACAGTTAGGGGGCAATCAGGCCAGCAGGGGAGGGCAGTTAGGGGCGATCAGGCCAGCAGGGGAGGGGAGTTAGGGGCGATCAGGCCAGCAGGGGAACAGTTAGGGGGTGATCAGACTGGCAGGCAGAGGCAGTTAGGGGTAATCAGGCCAGCAGGGGAGCAGTTAGGGCAGTGGTTCTCAACCTTGGCTGCACATTAGAATCACCTGGGAATCTTTTTAAAATCCTGATTTCTGGTGATTAGGGACAATCAGGCAGGCAGGTGAGCAGTTAGAAGGCAGTGGTCCTGGATTGCGAGAGGAATGTCTGACTGCCAGACATCCACCGAGGGGTCCTGGACTGAAGAGGGTGCAGGCCAGGCTGAGGGTCCCCCCCCCCACCCCTACCTCACTAGGGATCCTACCCATGCACAAATTTCATGCACCGGGCTTCTAGTATAATAAATATTCATGGAGAAAATAAACCAATATGTGGCATAGACCCGGACACTTCACATTTTCCTTTTTTATTATGTAAGAGTGCATACTATTCAGCAGTCGAGTTTGGTAAATATAATTTTTTTTTCCAGGAACACATGCCCAATTTGAGTGAAAAAATGTAGGGAGGGATTCATGTTCTGTTATAACTTAAAGCACCATTTAGTAAGAATGTTATATTAACAATAAAGGAATAAAAAACAACTACATTTTTAAGACATCCATTGAAATAATGAATTTTAATGATTCCCCTCAAACATTTATTATTTATTCATGTATGAAATTTTGTCTTACTAATAAAGCACTTAAAGGTTTCTGTTGGTTTTTTAAAGTAATGACATTCACATATTTTTAAATGCATTCATAATTCAAAATTATTTTTTTCCAAAATGGGAATTTCTTAGATATCTTTCCTGTTATTCAATTTTTATCACAAAAAATTAAATAATTTAAGAAACTGAGTCCAGATGGTGTGGTTCAGTGGTTGAGCATCGACCCATGAACAAGGAGGTCACAATTCGATTCATGGTCAGGGCACATGCCCATGTTGCAAGTTCGATCCCTAGTAGGGGGCAGGAGGCAGATGATCAATGATTCTCTCTCATCACTGATGTTTCTAACTCTCTCTTACTCTACCTTCCTCTCTCTGAAATCAATAAAAACATATTTTAAAAAAAGAGATTGAATGCATCTCTAGAACTCCTTCCCACCTCCAAGATAAACACTGTGAAACACTTCCATGCATATTTGCTCAAATAATTTTTATGCATACATAAAGCAGTCTGTGTATTTTTTAAATGAATGGGAACTGTTTTAAATTACAAACTGTTTAATTATAGATAACAGACATTTTGACATCACTCAGGGCAATCTTTAAGTTAATTTTTTTTAATTTTACTATTTCAAAAAGTATTTCAAAAATTAGTATTTAAAGTCTTGTGACTTTAAATACTAATTCACTTCAGAAAGGAGAAAAACTGAACAACAAATTCCAGGACTTAATGTAAAGTGATTCCTAATGTAAGTTACCTGATAGAGAACTATCTTATGATTAAAACTGAGGAATGGGAACAACTATCAGCAGCAGAGACATGAAGTCTTAAAAACACGTTCATATGAGCAAACATGAATAGATATCCATAATGGTACAACTTGAAAAACTATTTCCAAAAAACAACAGTAGATTCATTTGGTCATAGCTGCTATCAGTGTTCCTCTGATTTAATATATATTCTTCACTTTAACTAAAATAAAATTAATAATCAAATAATTTTAAACATAGATTCAAATGGATCATTTAAAATGTCATGAAAATTAAATAGGATCATAAGACCATTTCTTAATTTTGTAAGCACTTTTGCTAAGTTACTGAAAGCTACGGAATCTGCTTCATGAAATATAATAACATCTTTTTTTAAAGTAACTTGTAGAATTCCAAATAAAGTGTTTTTATAGTGTTTTACTTGGCTAGTGTAGATATCATCTGAGTTAAAAACACAAACAATTTAGTAGGTTAAGTTTGCTTTTTTTAAAAATGGTTTCTTGGCTATGCATAGGCAGGTTGAAAGCTGAACTACCAAGGTTTATAAAAATAATACACATTTAGTCAAATAAGAATAATATTGCCAAAAACTAAAGCAAGATTAAAATTTACATAGACTAGTAACCATCATTTTCAGAAGGTCACAATGACTGCCAATTAAAATGTGGGATGTAATCTATGGCCTCTTTTCATACATCCTGGGAATTTTTCCCCTTTGGACAAAGAAAATTCTGGAATGAGCTATATAAAAAACCAAGACATAGGATTAGATAAGACTATCTTCATAAGAATAAATGTGTTTTATTTACTGAAGAATCAACAACTATAACTAGAGAAACAATATAAAGTGTTATATTTAAATAACACTAGCAAAAAGAATTAGCTGGGTAGTGCAAAATTCAGTTATTAATCATAGTGTGGAGCTTCAGTTCACTTTCTCTTTTTTTTTTCTTTTTTTTATATATTTTTTATATATTTCACCGATCTTTCACAGAGAGGAGGGGAGAGGGATAGAGAGTTAGAAACATCGATGAGAGAAATATCGATCAGCTGCCTCCTGCACACTCCACACTGAGGATGTGCCCGCAACCAAGGTACATGCCCTTGACCAAAATCGAACCTGGGACCCTTCAGTCCGCAGGCCGACGCTCTATCCACTGAACCAAACTGATTAGGGCTCACTTTCTCTTTTTAAAGGGGTTTCTGAATGGCCAAAAAACAATCTGCTGATCACAAGCTATAATGCAAGAAAAACAAGTTCCAACTCATAATCTCCAGTTCTTTACCAAATTAATAAATGAATCAAGAGAATGTCTGAATCCAGATAAATGTATTTGGGAAACCAGAATATATATTCAGTAGCATATACTAGTCTCTCCCTTCTTCATTTTCAATGGTTTGGTATACCCTCACAGAGTTCACAGGAAAATAAGCTTAACTGACCATACAAATATATTTCTAATTTGCTCTCTTCCCTGGCTGTATCTCACACTCATTTGTATTTAAAAAACAGAAAAACATGATTAGGCTCTTTACAGACGAGACTTAGTGGTCCAAAGCATTTCTTTTTTTTTAATTCTAGAAGACATTAAGAAAAGCTATGAGTGAGAACCACTGACGAACACTGATGCTTAAGTAAGCCAGAGTACAGGGTCTCCACAGACAGGAGAAA